CTATTTTGCATTGCCACAATACTCCTGTTTAAAATGAGAGTTTATTTCAATCATTTTTATATAGAAATTAATCTAAAGTAGAGTTTCAGACTGAAACACATGCAAAAGAACTATTTGTGCAAAAGCTTACTTCTCAGCCCCCCCCCCCTGTTCCTACGCTGCAACAGAAACCAGTCAATCATAGTTAGCTGGCAGCTTAAGCCCTAAACTAAGCTTTCATATTGTCCCAAAGCTTTCATTCATACAGCAACCCTCCTCCTCCCCACTACCATCTAGATGTAACTCCTTATGTAACTTAGCTACCACCACCAGAGTCTAGGATTTGACACTTCACATTTCCCCTTCTGCATTTGTCATGTAGTGTTCTGCAGGGGTCTTAGTACCTAACCACATTTCATGTACAGCATGCAATAAAAAATGCAAATATTGTCTGCAGAATCCATCCATCCATGCATCCATTTTCTTCCCTTTAATCCATTTCTGGGTCAGGGGGGTGGCAATCAGAGCTGCCACCCAAGTCTCATAGCACCAGCCCCTCACTGACCCTCTGCAGGTGGTGAGTCCACAGGAGGACGGCTGCTCTCTGAGTGAGAGCATAGCCTTGATCTTTCAGTGGGGGCTTTGGGCAAAGTGGGGTTAAGTGTCTTGCCCAAGGACACAACGACAGCAGTCATCAGTGGGAGTCGGTGGAGAAGGTGCAGAGGTGGGAATTGAACCCACGACATTCTGGCCTTAAGGCCAATGCTCTACCAACTGAGCTACTGTCTGCAGAATCTTAAGTGTTAATTGATGTAGTGACAGATTACTTGCCAACCAATTAATACCATTCGACCCTTACAGCCCCCCACAGCATTTCAATCTGTTCAAGTCTCTCCAGATTGAAATTCTGTTAGAAGCCATGTATTTGGCTCTTCTATCAATTGTGATAATGTGATTCTCAACTATATCTCAAAATGTTATCATATCAACTCAAAGCAATAATATATGATGAAGCATTCATCAACCACTATCAATACCAATAACTATTTACATGGTAGCGATTCAAAATACTCTATAACTGTTAGCTGGATACAAAAGTGGAACCTTTGATTGCAAAATTCAATATTGATAAAACTGGCCATTTACGTTGTTGTTCTTCTACAAAGAATCTTAAAATATAATGGCCCATTTCCACCAAAACTGATCACTACCAAATCTGCACATTTCATAAAAAAAAAAGAAGTGAATATACCTAAGCATCGGCTGTGTATAAGAGCGATGCTTACCTCCACTGGCAGGTACGAGCCAGGTTGACATTGTAAATGAATGAGCGATCCCTGCTTTGGGAATTGGGCTAATGAGTTGGAGCGGACCACCTGAAATTAACCTGGAGGCGTGCACTCTCTCCCAAATGTCCACAGGGAGTGCTTCATCAGAGGCATTAGTGCAAAGTAGAAATTAAGTCTCGCTGCAAACATACTCAGCTTCTGTGACTAATGCCGTGGCCCAGTTTGAGGTACCAAGAAGGAGGGTAAACCGGGTGCACCGCAGGGTCTCTGTCCATCCACACCAGTTTGTTGAGTCATTTACAGAGTCTCTTTGCTCACGGCGGCAAACAGAGCCAGAGATCAGTTTGTGTTTGGCTCATATAGACTACAGAGACAGGAGGAAGAGGAGTTTGTATTCACACTCATTTAAAATCACACTATCAAGGAATCTGTGTTGAGAATGTAATTATCAAACTAAATAAACCTGTGATATCAGAAAAATATGGGCCACAATATGAAACTACAGTAACAGTAATAAATGTTTTGAAAATAGAAAATGAGGGAAAGGTTTTTGGGAAGTCGCCCTGACTCCAGGTGTATATTCTTCCTGTAAACCCTAACTTCAATCTTACTTCAGATATCAAAGTTATTTTAAATAGATGTTTCCCAGTAAGTATATATCACTCATTTATTGTTAGTTTATTTAAAGCTTGGCTTTATCACTCAGGGTCTTCTTTGAATTGAACTGTCTCTGTTCAAGTAAGCCTCACTTTTGACATTTTGACGTGTAGACTCTTTAATAAAGCAGGTGTGTTAATGACAGGGTGGCCTGGTGGCTGAGTGTGTAGCATCTTCTCCTCTCAACTACAAGGTTCTAAGTATGAATCCCGTCAGAGCATAAGTTGAAATTTAAACTTTATTGCAGTTCACTTTGTAATATCAAGTAAAAGATGTACTCGAGGAATTCAAGTGAAATAAATGAGCAATATATTTCCAAGGTTTTTTTCAAGTAAACTTGTCAGGGTTCACAGTGTATCACTGTAACCCTAACTTAAATTGTACTTCAGATATCAAAGTTATTTTAAATAGATGTTTCCCAGTAAGTAAATATTACTCATTTATTGTTAGTTTATTTAAAGCTTGGCTATATAACTCAGGCTTTTCTTTGAATTGAACTGACTCTGTTCAAGTAAGCCTCACTTTTGACATTTTGACGTGTAGAGTCTTTAATGTGTGTCCATGACAGGGTGGCCCGGTGGCTGAGTGGGTAGCACCTTCGCCTCTCACTCACAAGGTTGTAAGTACGAGTCCCAATCGACGTATAAGTTCAAAGTTAAACTTTATTGCAATCACTTGAGTTTACTTGGTAATATCAAGTAAAAGATGTACTCGAGGAATTCAAGTGAAGCTAATATGCAATTTATTTCCAAGGTTTTTTCAAGTACACTTTACTTGTCAGGATTTACAGTGACAATGCAGAACAACCAATGCGACTACATATGAACAACACAGACACTGGTATGCACTGATGCACGGTGAAAAAGTGGGCTGCTTTCGGATCAGCAAATATTTTTTTATATTATGGACAATGTTTCATCTGGCCAATGAACAATCAACAACAACACACCGACAATGACAGTCTCCCATCAAATGACTAACCAGGCCCTGCCCTGCTTAGCCTCTGAGGCCTGACAGTATCTATTTTGGTACAGAAACCAGTGCAAATTGTTTATAAGTCAGCGCAACAGCTAATAGTTAAACCAATTAAAGTGGTGGGCCCCCAACCACAAATCTGTAAATCTCTGACCAATATATTGATTATTCAAACCAACATTACCAGTTAGATTGGTAGTTTTTCCATCTAATGTGTTGAGTGCTGATATCTCTCCTCAAACCCAACATCCATATCAGTGGAAGGTTGTTGTAACAATATTTTTTTTTCAATAAGGAATAGATCATAAATCACAAATTAGCCAGATATCAGTAAAAGTGCCAAGATTGACATTTCAAACTCAATAGTACTAATTGTATTGCCCTTTTCCACAAACAATTGAATGCATAGTTACTTACACTTGAATACAAAATGTCTGTCTGTATTGGATATCAATAAATAGTCATATGCAGCTTATTCTTTATGAATAAATACAGCAATTATATTTTTGGTCACCTTTAATTTAACTGAAAATATACCGAATTGTTCCAGTAACTCAAAGTCTATACACAAATATTGTATGATCTTGACCAATTTATGACATCTATAAACAGCTCATAATCTTGTGTAAACAAACTAGGTCCGGTATTCATGTGTTCACAGTGCTCTTATCGACATTAATGACTGTTGCATTACAAGTTTAGATACACATGCAAACGGTTTCCATATCAAGGCTGAATAAACACGTGTTTTAACATTCTGTTACACATTAAGATAAATACAAACCTATAAGGTAGAGGTGCTGGGGGAAAAGAAAGACTGTAAAACCAACAGCCTTCAATAAATGTCTGAATTAAAATCTGTCATATGTTCTAGTTTAAGACACAACCCCAGATTAAAACAGCTTTATGTTTCTTCCATCAATGGTTCTGTCACTGATGAGAGAAAGAATAATCCCATATGAACGCACCAGGAGCAGCATTGTCTTTGTGTTCTCACTAATGCTTTTCTATTTGGACCCGAAGTTGTGTGCGTAATGAAATGTATTCCTATGGTAGTAGAGAACCACCAATGAACGAAATTAATGATTGAATATTTGTAATTTGTAATATTTGTACATCCACAAGACTTGTCAATAACATTTGACAATAACAAGGATTTGTCAGACCAAAGCAGGGCTGATTTATGATAATCTATTAGCTGTGATGAATTGATTCACTTGTTGCAGCCACGGACAGAAATATGTAGTTTTGTACTTATCATGATGCAATTTGTTTCTTATTTGCCAATTGAGCTCCCCCCAAAAATTAAAAGCACGCATCAGAACTGACAGCTGACTGAAAACATTATTTTTGAGACTTCTATCAAAAATATTTAAGCAGCCACAAAGGCCTTGAATCTGTGTGTAAAAGCATTGCTCATTTTAAACCTAATCCTGCATCAAGAGGCAGAACATCTTAAATGTGATGTCAGGGTACAAAAGTCAGGACATGGTAAAGATACTAGGTCTATATTAAGCCTAGGCATGTAATATTTAGATACATTAATATTAATACTGCTCCAGTATAAGAGGCTCGACTCTAGACAGACTGCAAAACCTTGTACATTTGGCCTATTTCATCAAAAGCCTTTATATTTTTATTTTTGGACATTCAAACTGAATGTGGTATGGCCCTATGGAATACAAACATATGACTGAACTCTTAAAGCTGAGGCCCTGTAGTTTTTTGCCTCTAATGATCAATTTTTATTTATGGTGGGAACAATATTTGCACAGAGAAAATACAATTCTCATTTCACCGCAATTGAGATTGGGGACCTATAATTAACAGAAATAAACGGCCACGTGCAAATTATGTAAAATTAACTTTTTTACAAACGCATTTTTATTTATGATTTCGGAGTTGCTTGCCTCAACATGCAATATTGATACATTTCATCAACTGGCTGACAAAACAAAATAAAAAAGTGTATACGTTCCAATCCGATCCAGACGTTCCCATAACAGACAAGAGCAACAATTTCAAAAGTTCATAAGACGCGTACAATAAAGAGAGGCTACAACGACAGACGCAGAGACTTTGGTGAAACTAGACGTGTGTTTAGTTGGTACACAGTGAAAGTTTCAGCGTTAGATAGATCCATGATGGGGGACTCACCTGTAGCGGGCTCTGCTCCACTCCGCGGCTCCACACTTCCCCCCCGCGCGCGCTCATGGTCCGCACCGCACTGTCCGAGCGCACGAGCCGAGTCTGGAGCCGGGGACACGAGCGACAGTCAGTCTCGTGCCTAGGGAGAGGAGAGCGCTCATCTTCATCACAGAGGAGGAGGAGGAGGAGGAGGAGGAGGAGGGAGGGCAGGGAGAAAGACTACTGCTGCCCTCTCGTGTCCCCTGCGTGTCATTACACCTGGGTCTTTTGCATGGTACACGTTACAGAGCATTGTTTTTCAACCAGTGGGCCGTGGGACGTAAGTGTGTCTTGAGATGCAGTTTGGTGTGCCTTTGGAAATGTCCCAATAACACCTACTTGGTCAAAAATAATGTGAGACGACCAAAAAGGCTTTGTTTATACAGCTTGGGAATGACTTTGACCTCAACGGATCAAATAGTTACTCAGATACACTCCTCAAGACAACACAGAGACAACATCAGCATCCAAGTACCTGTGCGCTCTGCCTGGAGTGTACACGTACACTACGTATACGTATGTGGTGTGGAGCCATAAGCTGGGTTCAAGTGATGGGCTTGGAGGGCTTTTCTTGCAGATCGCCCACACTGTAAAAAATGTCCTTGTAGAAAAACAGTAAAATGCTGGCAGATATGGTTCCAGGAATGTACCCTTATCTCAACATGGCATTATCTTTGCTAATTTTAACGGTTAAAGACTGTTTTACTGAATCACATTATGCCTTTGTGATTTCAGGATTTAACTGTATGTTCCTGTTCATTCACATACAATAGAAACAGCATTATAATGTTAATTTAGTATTATTACACCATATGACTGGTTCTGTTTCTAATTAGTTTCATTGAACAAAAATCTACACAGTTTATATTTGGTTTTCCTTTCATGAACACAACTGTTCAATTATTTTTTAACATCTTCAGTTTATACAAAATAATAGTTGAAATCTTTGCTTCAATTACATGCGTAACTCTAAAGCACCATGTTAACAAAAGCAGGAGTTACCTATGCCTCTTACACTCATGGTTGCTTGCTAGCAAAAATTTAACCCATCACATAATCACATAATAATAATAATTGCAATCACATAATAATTGTGGTAATAAAATGCCACTGGATGTTTTTTAACCCATTTATACTTAAATTTGCATGTTTGAATTGTTTTTCAAAATAACACTTCTTTAATGTTGAAATTTCATTGTAATTTTACAAAAATGTGTTACAGTGCAGACTGTTCTCCGCTGCACCCTCAGATGTTCCCTCCACCGCAGTCTTCGCATCATCAATCGGCTTCACCTCTGGCACATGTGACTTTTCTCCCCTTCCGCGTTGTGCTGTTGTGGATATTAACCACGTTTCATTTTAAAGCAGGTATTATTGGTTTGTAGCCTCCAAACACCTTTAGCTTTAGAAAAACAACAGTAGGACATGTTTTGTTGCTGCGCGTGATGTAAGCTACGTAGCTAGATTTTGACTGACGCTGTTGTAATCTTGTGATGTCTGGGACAAAGTTACAAATTTGATATAGTACAGTATTAGTATGTATATAAACACAATTTAACAAGCTTCCATATTGAATCCAATAAATTGCAACAAAAATATTTATGGGCTAAGTATTTGCTCCACTTTTCTTTTGGGAACCATGCTCTAATAAGATGAGGACAACAAGTTAGGTGCCGCAAATGTTAAATATAAAGTATATTTTTATGTTTACCAAAAGCCCTTAACACTTTTTTTGGGAGCAGTACAGTATGCTAACTGTTTTACTATAATATAAAACATCACAAAATATTTTTAAATCATTATGTTTCTAAAAACACAAGGTATTCTCCCCAAATACTAACCCTAAGATAAATGGTACTTGGAAACACGTCTTGGTTATGTTATCTGCCTAACTTCTGGACAAAACATGTTCTGAGGTCTCATTACCCAAAGAACATGTGGCTGTGCTGGCCAACATGCTGCTACTATTCATGCGTCCCCATGGACCATTTCTCTCTCTCTTCCCCTTTTTAATGACACTCACTGAAAAACTTTGGTTATCTGGGTCAGCCACCACTAGCATAATAAACATATTGCGTTTATGCCCGGTGATGTTTTGTCCATTTGCAGAAAGTGACTAATGACAAAAAAGTAACATGTATTACATGTCACCGGCATTACATGACAGGTGTATTGAATATACACATACAAATTAGGGCATCACAATATTGGAGACATTGTGAATACAGAACTATGCAAGTTGGAATAGAACTCCTGCAAATCTTACTGGTGGAGGTTATACCAAGGGGATGGACATAAATAAATATATAATTTTTATAGTAACATTGACATAATCAGTTCCCATGAAGGTTTTGAGACCAAACACATTTTGTTTTGTGACAATAATAGACAACTGGGTGATATCGCCAAGAAAGCAAGTAGTTCTGTTTAGCTGTGGACTGTACGAGTGTTTCTCATGGATCACTTGTTTTTTTTTTTTAAACATATTGTTTTGTATTTTTGTTGTATGCTGTACTTTGTTCCCTTAATATTCATACACGCACATCGAAAAAAAATCATTCTTCAGATATCACATTTCAATTGCAACGTTTGTCCAAATTGTATATATTTCTTCACAACCGTGCAGCCCTAACCTCAGTGATATGTACGAGTCAAATGTAATCATGGGATATCCGACCGTACTTGAACGCCGCAGCGCACCCACAGCAGCGGTCCATGCGTGAGCGTGACACGGCAGTAATCTGACGCTTCCACAGGTGTGCACCGGACTGGACCCACGGCGCCAGCGATTACCTTGTTTGAAAGTGCATTATGTATACTTAATGCCATTGAAATCCACGTTTATCTTTATTCCTGAGTATTAAAGTTCCTTGTTGTTCACCTGTCTGTTTTCTACCTGGATGTCGAAACTACCAGGAAACGCGGGAGTCACGGTGCTTGGCGATAAGTCCGTGGAGTTCTACCGGGATCCAGTGAGTTTCTACGGGCAGAGGATGGACCGGCACCGCGGGAGAGTGTTCCTGAGCCGCATCCTCAACCGACCCACCGTGTTCGTGTGCTCTGTTCGCGGGGCAAGAGAGCTGTTGTGTGGTAACTAGTTATTCTTTACGTCACATTACGATTAGTGTGAAAATAATAACTTTTTTTTGCGGCCAGGAGATATTATTGGCTAGTTTGAGGCAGCTGACAAATATCATTGGAGATTAGAATTATCGTGTATAACATGTGTATGACAGCACAATAAATTCATTTTTGCTTTTGTACGTTTTACGGTCTGTTTTGACATCAAATTTGGAAATAAAATGCATTTAAACACTAGATTAGAAAAGCCTGTTCATGTTCAACTGTAAAATATTATTACAGTAAAAAACAATCAAGAAAAGATACAAAGCATGATACTTTATACACATGTTTTCAGCAATATGTTATTGGTATTTACTTCTTCCCACTCCCTTTCGAACTTTCTTGTTGTCATTTTTTTTGTATTTTTCTTGTTTTTTTGTGATTTTGTATTGCTTCTCATATTGTTTATGTTTTGTTATTTGTTTCAAATGAGAATAGAAGTACAGAGTGTACAAAGAAGCTTTTTTTGTATGTATTATGAAATGCCATGACCCTGGATTTGACAACGAAGTTCGAAATAAAAAGATTGATTGGTATAAACAGGCTTATCTTAAGTGTTAGACAAAGTGGAAATTAATTTATTTGGCCTCATACATTGTCACATGTATATACACTTTTATCAGTTCAGAATTATTTTATTAGAAAATCAAACCAATGAAATGGTTTTTGGTCCAAAAAACAAATAGATTAATCATTGTTTGCAGGAATTAAGAAATGCACTGACCAACCACATACAAAAAGGCTCAGTGTATCAGCTCACGATACAGCTGTTCTATGTCAATACTCTTGTTTTCATGATACCCATGATACCCATATTTAACTATACCAATTCAACATCAATTGATTTTCATCCCCCACAATTCACAGCTAACTTTTTCTGAAGTAACTACAGAGAGACTTTGTATGGCTAAGCATGATTAAGTTATCCTACTTAGATTAGAGCGTGTACTTTAATTGGTCTCAAAGATAAATTAAATCTAGCTGCAGAGAGAAACCCTAGCCCTAACCCTGGGAAGGTCATCTGCCTGGATTCAGAATTATATAAAAGACATTACATTTCTCATTATGATACCATGAGGATAAAGCCGAAAGTCTGTGTAAAATAATGGCAGAGGGCACATACACCCCAGGATTAGTCTGATCAGTCATGGGAGAAACTTGTGACTGAAGAAATGTGCAGCCTCACAAGTCCATTGTTGAGTCTTGAGTTGATTCTTTCCTTCATTCGTTGTAGAATAAATGTAACTACAAATATTAAAAAATATATATAAATGTGAAATCATTCCCTTGTGTGTTTCAGAAAAGTCCAATATATTCCAAAAAGACCCCACTGATCTGATGACAAACATGTATGGAGACACAATAGTCACCACCAATGGTAATGTTGTTGTTGTTACATTCACTGGAGATTATTTTTGCTGAACTATATTTTCATTTCAGGTGAAGAGGCAAGTCTCCTCCGTTTGTCGTTTTCTAGTCTCTTCACTGGAAATAGTTTAGAATCAACAAAGGGCTACGTCACTAGGTAAGAAAGCTTTTTGACTATTATTGTATTAATGATCAGCTGGGTCTTTACTTTGATAATTCATTTGATTTGATAATTGTTGTGATCATGGGTTTTTTGTTTATTTATATTTTTCAATTTATCGAATGGAGCAAGTTTAATGTCTGCTGTGTGTCCACTTTTAGGATATGTGAGCAGCACCTGAAGGATCTTTCATCAAGGTGAAATATAAGACAGTAATTCAATTCAGATTAGTTTGATTCATTAATTCATTTCAATTCATGATTAGTTCTACACTTTACAGAACATTCACTAAAAAGACATAGCGATGTATTGTGATAAACGATAATATTGAAACAACTTCAGGCACCATCAGACAAATCCTTGTGAATTTTTCTTAATTTCACAATTGTTTCAGCCATATACTGAAACCATAAATATAATTAAGCAGTACTTAGTCAGCTCAAATTACATTGGAAAATAGAAAATATTTGGTCATTATTGAAAAGAAAATGTACACACGATATATATATTGAACCACAAGATTTCAGATGTTGTTTTTTTTTTTTTTTTTTTAAATAACATAATCATTGTATGTTATAGCCCCCACACAGACATCAAAAGATAGAGTTATTGTTTTAATATAAATGGCCCTAATATAATGTAAATACAAATATACATTTATAATATAAGTAAGAAAATAAATGGCCCTAAAAAATTGAATTAGTCGTTCCCTGGTCATGATTGTTGTATTTGTATGCTTTTATTCCAGAGGGCAATGTTCATATTCCGTGTATAAGTCTTTGGGGACACAACTGGTGCTGGGGCTGTTTCTAAATGTTAATCCAGATGAGCAGCCAGAACTATACCAAGAAATATCTTGTCTCTGCACACAGCACTGGCATGGTATGAAGCTATTGTACAACTGTGTGACCCAAGAGAGTGGTTTTAACATATATTGGAAACTTCCTGTTGTTGTAACCCTTGTGTCACTTCTGTTTACTTCTGCAGGGCTGATATCGGCTCCCGTCAACGTAAAGGTCCCCATGTGGTCATCCGGCTTCTCCACCGCTCTCGAGGCCAGAGAAAAACTCATGGCTATTATTAAAGACAAACTGCAGAATGACAAACATGGGTAATTCTTTCAATCAAAAAATAAACACATTCTTTGCATAAATTATTATCTACTCTTGTGAATGTGAGTCTAGTGGCTTATAACAAAATATGATGTTTCTTTATTCGTCCTTCTATTCACACATTTTATTATGGCCTGATTAAAACTGGGGTACCAAGGTTTCAAAGTTTAAAAATGCTTTGTAATAAAACTAAAGTAAACTGGTGAGAAGACTAAACCATAAAACAGTTTAGTCTTCTCACTAGATTTCTCATACATGTATTTTTGGCCTCTGTTACGTCTTTGGATCAGCTTTTACAGACAGAGGACCACTCAGCCAATCATCCCTCAGCCCAAAACATCAAATAGTGACTCACAAGGCTCTTTCTTACAAGTTTGCAAAAGAAAATTATTTTTTCTGATTGCATTAGTCAGATTCAGCATAAGTCGGCATCGTGTGGGCTGATTTGTGGTAAAGCTTTTGTTGAGACATTAAAGAAAAAATTGAGGTACTTTAAAGAAGACTTGACATGACCAGTATTGTCGAGTAACTAAATACTGTACTATATTAGTAAGTACTGAGTAGTTGGGGCCCCGCCTATAAGCTAATGCAGCTCCCCACCAACAAACTTCACAAATACAATGTGCATACCTTGTTTGACTATGAAGTTTTGTAAATAAAATAATTGAATTGAAAGTTAATTACAGACTGACTAATACGTTTACATTTGTGTCCGTATTATTTTGATAAGACCTTGTTTAAATACTAATCCAGTATAGATCTGTCTATTAATTAAAGTAGTTATGAGCCTGACTTTAGACACCTTTATACATAGACTCGCGATAATCTCATTGCAAAACACGTTATTGGGAGTTACCTAGTGTAACTTAAGTTCTACGAATGGTGCGAAGCCACTTAGTTCGCTGTGCGTATACTCAGAAGCCCGAGCTTCGCGCCAGAGAGAAATTAATGCTCCAATCACGTGCCAGTCCCATCTATAAATAGCCCTCTACAGCCCACACCTGCCACTTTGAACTTTGCCAAAGCCAGGCTGGACTGATGGGCCCGTAGCTAAGTGGCTTCGCACCATTCGTAGAACTTAAGTTACACTAGGTAACTACCAATTCTACTTCATGGTGCTCCAGCCACTTAGTTCGCTGTGGGTACCGCGCGAAGCTGTAGAGAGATGTACTCCCATCAGGCCAGCGTACAGTGATTGGAGCCCTGTTATGTAATATTTTATTGGTATAGAATTGTGGATAATTATGTGATTTATTTTCTATCCTTCTCTGTAGTTTAGTTGGAACTTTAGGGTCCTTGCCTTTGCCTGACTCCAGCTCTGCCTCTCAACATCTCCTGTTGTTCATCTCTGCTCTGATTCCCAAAGCTCTGGCATCACTCCTCACTTCCTTCACACTAGCACTCAGTGGAAACCAGCAGGTGAAAAACACATTTTAAATATTGGCTGTGTTGCAGTGTTGTCGCATAATTAGTATCAAGCTTCCGAGTGTTATTTCTAACAGGTGGAAACCCGCAGGAAAGCACAGACAGATGCTGATTACTTGGGGTTTGTGTTGCTGGAGGTGCAGAGACTTTGGCCTCCGTTCATTGGTGGACGAAGGATAGCCAGTCAGGTAAGCCCGGAAACTATCCACACTATGTTTACATTATTGAATGTGTGTTTTGCCACTAGATTTTCCTTCGACAACAACAGATTTTGTGCTTTCGTTCTCATGATGAATCAATCATAGCAATCATCAAAAATCGAATGTGATAGTTTTCAAAAGTTAGTATTTATGGATCATCCTACAACAAATACCAAATTTCTTTCAAAATATTAATACATTGTTTTTGAGTATTTTATTAACATTTAAAGATTAACTCATTGACAGCCATTGACATATTTGTCTGAGACCCTCTATTTGACTGGGGATTACAGGACTATAAAAACAGCTAGAAACAGACTTATTTTTGCTGCTGAAAGTAGACAATCCAGTCTTTCAGAATCTGGTTTCATATTTCACATAGTCTTAGGAAATAATATTCTGTGGGTCTTGAGAATCAGTGAAATCATCAAAAACGGCTGACAGTCCTGAGTTATTTTGGGGTTTATCATTGTGATAGAAGAATTACATAGATTTACTTCTGTACTTTTACGTCACATACACGCTAAAAGAAGAAACTAACTTAAAATTCAATGTGTTTTCTATGACTTCCTTGAAAAAGATGCTGCTTATTAAAATCAAAAGTCTTTTTTAACGACAGCTCAACTCATTCGCATAAGCGAGAGAAGTGCGAAAAAGTCATTTCATTTTAAACTAGTTTGTGGTAACATGATATTGGAATGTAACTTAAGTTATCATTTTGGTAAATCATATGTGGCTATGTGCTGAATGCTCTGTATTGTAATTCACTTTAGCTTCAGGAAGACACCGGGAGGTCTGGGTAGCTCATATGCTAAGTGTCTTTTGTTGTGTTGGTTTCTTCCTTTCCCATCTGCATACGAAGGTGTGTCTTGTTCTACCAAAAGGGGCTTGCAGACTGTGAATCTTCAGACTTGTCCTGAGAGAGGCTAGGGTCTGTGCCTTGCCTCTGTCAAGACATTCTCCTTGTACAATGTAACAAGTAAAAGATTAACTTTGTCTCTTTGTTGTGTGAGATTTCATCAGGTTCAACTGTAGTTGAAACAGCATTATCATAACAGTTTCACAATTGAAAGTTGAGTGTAATCAGCCCTTTAGGTTCTAGAGTGTTTTCAGAAATGTAATGTGAAACTGATAAATGTCACACATTTGTCCAGCAGGGGGAGACAGTTAACCACATTTTGTTCTGGTTGAGTTAGAACGTTCCCCCTTTAAGCAAGGGCAATGCAAACAGTAACAGACCATATTACTTTTTAAACTTTTCTGCATGTATATGATATAAGGCATGAAAGACTAAAAAGTTCATTTGTTTCTTTATTTAAACTCATAATTTTCTGAGATTTCTTATTTGCAGCTTTTAAAAGCATTATCCAATAGCCATAATTATCAACGGGGCCAATTTGTTTTTTCGTCTATGCAATCTCCACTTGTTTCATGTTAGAAATCAAAAAGGGGGAAAATAGTTAAAGTTAAAAAAACACATTGTAGTCCGGACAAAGCAGGCTGTATTTTTTCTTCCTTCTCTGCTTTGACGGGTAGCTTTTGTTCAGTCACTGTTGATCCACATGACCTCATCATCAGATAGACTTATGTAAGAGCCTAATAAGAGGCATTGATCTCGCCCGGTGATTGATTGGCATCGGTCCCCGGAAGGCAGCAGTCACAGGCGGTGGTGGTGGTGGTGGTGATGGGAGTGATTCGGGGAGGATGGTGGAGCGGACTGGGGGGTGGTAGTGACGCTGTTTAGCCGAGTGGAAAGTCATCAGTCATCAGGAAATGCACCAGTACACTTTTTATTACTGATGACCTTTGTGAGGACACTACCGACTTTGGCTCTGTTGGAAAGAATTACAAGTAGTCAGAGTAGTGGGCCGTTAAGCAATTATACTTACTTATACAAATCCACTGGAAAGTTGATAATTGTGGGACGATTTCAGTACATCATTGACCATATTTAACAAGATTTGCCAATGGAACAACCAATAGTTCACTTTAAAAGAGGGGGGGGGGGAATGTACTGTGCTTTATATTAATATCTAGCCCAGCTTTAACTACTGCAGTTAAAGCTGGGGGGCTCAACTTTAAAATAAACTGTTATAAAACCCACCTAGCTAGTTCCTCTCTCTCAAAACAGTTCTGATTGTAGTTTCCACAAGCATGAAAGTGGAAGTAAGTACGTTTTTATATACTGTCTTTCACAGACCAGAGTCACAAAGCGGTTTACACTCTCACTCCACACAGAGACGGGAGCAGGGTCCTCTGCCAATCTTTAGATCAGCCGTTTCATACAGAAAAGTAAAATCTGTAGAATCACACTAATCAGCCAATCAGCTCTCAGCCCGAAGATTTTTTCTAAGACAGCCTGTTGTGGTTTAATTGGTTCACAAACAAATAGTTCACATTCTTGAAAGAAAAAGACTCTTGTAAACGCAACATTTTGTAAACAAATTCCTCTCACTCCTTTTTGAGTTTAACTAATGTACAACATGGTAATAAGTAATTGTTAATGAATGATTTCCTAAGTAGTGACATTTGATAATTAATGTTGATATACATCCATCCATCCATTTTGAAGCCAGATGTGGCTCTTTTGATGATTGCTTCTTGCTCTAAGACAATTTTAAGTAGGCATTAATAGTAATACTGTTTTATGTTTTTTGATTTCAGATGGTAGAGCAGAAACCCAGAAATGGATAAAGGGGAAGCCTTTATCCATTTATGGGTTTCTGCTCTACCATCTGAGCCACTGTTGTTTGATGTTTATTGAACTCAAAATAAATATCTGAACTCAAAAAAGAGAAATTCGACCAGTTAATGCTCATTATAAGACGTGTAGTATGAATGAATGTTCCTTTTACACAGATTTTATTTATTAAAGTTAGTTTAATTTGACCAATGCAACACTTTTCAATGTATTTATTTGTTTTTCCTTTCTACAAGCCTACTTTCACATCCAGCAGTGTTTGTGAAATCTGAGAAATGAGGCATACAAATTAATCCAAACAAACATTATTTTTACCTTCATATCAACAACTCAATTTGGAGGAACGGCACGTTTCCTGTTCACCTTCGGAGTAAACATCTCTCACAAAGAGGCGAGGAGTCATGAAGCAGAGGGCATGTTTTTGCCCAGGCGATTAGTATTCACTATCAGGTGGAAAAGTGGAGCTCTGTCGGGTGGAACTAAGATATGCGCGTGTTTGGGCAGAAGGAACTCGGCAAGGGCAAAGACATCTTTCAGTGGGCCACGAATGAAAGATTTGCGCACAGATTTTCCACTCCAGGAGACAGAAGAAAGTGAAACAGCAATCATGCTCTCTGGCAGCGCATTAGAGCTGCCTGCGTCTAATGGATGGACTGAAGGAGAGGACAAACAGGGCAACAATAGGCTAAGTGCTATTTTTGCCCAAGGAGCCTGCTTTCACACTGGTCTCAGTGAAAAAAAGAAAGATTATGATATTTTTGTCGGCTGCAATAATGGGCTTCTTTAATTCTTTCTTTGTTGTTGGTTTTGTTTATTTGGGTCAAGGTCAGTCAGGTTGGAAAACTTGCTAGTGGCAGTGTGGTGATGTGGAGGTATCAAAACCACTGGCTTGATTTGATATTCATTCATTCGTATTCATATTTGATTGTTCATTTCATCTAAATTGAAGCCAGATGTGGCTCTTTTGATGATTGCTTCTTGCTCTAAGACAATTTTAAGTAGGCATTAATAGTAATACTGTTTTATGTTTTTTGATTTCTCTAGTATGATAATTTCAATCAGCTAAAGAAGAAATTCTGATACTAATATCACACTCAAAAAAAAAGTATGGTTCTCACTGAAATTATTGGTTTTAAATATTTGACTGTTTTGTCTCAGCTAAAAAGGTTAGCGACCTCTGCCATAAGCTGTATATTTGGAGTGGACTGACCGAGTACTGCCGTCACCATAGTGTCCTGCTGAATGTGGAAGAACCCGATTTGAACATAAAATCGGGATGGAGCCATATCAATATTTCCGTATATGAGCATTTGTTCCAATGGGATTAGTTTTACACCGTAACAGGGGCAGGGATGTTGCTGAGGCAAGCTGTAGTTTCCACTGTAAATGAAGGCATCTGATTGGTCGGTCATTACATGGCTCTTATCTGGGTTTACAAAACAATACAATACAATTTATTCTTGTGTAGCCCTAAATCACAACAGCAGAGGACTTAACAAAACCATTGAAATCACCACACAGATCAAAGAATCAACAGTTAAAACAAAAAAACCAAGAGAAATTCAAAACAATATACACTGGGATCATAGATAGCCCAGATGGTGAGTGCGATACAAACAGTGAGTGAGCCGGAGCAAGTTGGAGCAAAACTTTGTCCATGAGCACTTCCCTCGGTTTTCATTGAGCTGGAGGGTTAGCATTGTCTATATATATATAAAACCTATGATCCATATTGTCAGCGTAGATATAAAGAAATGGATGGATAGACCGTTCTCATATATTTTTGAAAACGTATTAACTCAAATGTATCGTATCTAAACTTATTGTGATGTCGTGTGCATATAGTATTTGTGTTTAGTGTCCGAATGACACCTGATGAGCTTTATGTGTTCAACTTCACAAAGGACAAGGCAAAGGAAGGTTTCTCACCCATCATCTGTACTTCTTTCTACTTACATACAAACTTATTTACAAAGGTCACTATCAACCAAAGGGACAGATACTGATCCAAAATATTTTAGACAGCTAGAAAAACCAAACTACTTGTAGTTGAATATATAGAATATTTAAAGTGAAACATTGTGAAACATTAAGGTTATAAGGCTTTGAATTGTATCATAAAATGTTCTATCCTAATTATAAATAAATATGGTAGAATATAGTACTTGCTCGACTATTAGGCGCACCTGTATAAAAACTGCACCAGCAAAAGCATTTTAATATAGGCCACAACTTTACATGTTTGTAATTTAACACTTACCACCTGCTGATGGTGCGAAACAATACACTGTTGAATCCCAAAGCAATCCCATGTATTTCAAAATCATACGTCCATAATTTCTGCTCTGACTAAAAACTTCCCCATGTCAGAGCTCTGCTGTTCACATAAACGAATCAGGAAACAGGAATGTCATCAGCTCTGGGGATCAACAACTGATACAGTAGTTTCCAAATCCCTTTCTGTATCCCAGGGGGCACTCTAACAAAACAAAAATACATACACTGGCTCATTACTCAGAGAGTTCAAAGAACTTGAAATAAGTAGCGGCTTCTAGCCCAGAAAGTAATGAAAATCTGCTATTGTTTTCTTTCAAATATTCATAAATTACATTTTCATTTTAATGTAGCTTTTGCTGCAGTTTTTATCATCAAAATGTTGACACATATTTCTCTGTTATTAAAACATATTTAAAAACTAAATTTACAAATCATTATTTTAATATTAAACTGTTGTGTCTACAATTTAAAAAAATAAAATCCATCTTACAAGTATGCAAATAATATGTTTTCTTATGCAATGTTCTTATCTCCGCTCGCACAGGACTGTACCATCGCAGGCTTTCACGTCCCTAAAGATTACGGCGCCGTGTACATCAGCCACGCAGTTCACCGCGACCCAGAGGTGTTTGAAGATCCTGACAGCTTCAGGCCAGAGCGGTGGGGAGAGAGGTGAGAAATTGTAACGTACATATACTGCCAAACCAATCGCCACACAGCAGCCAAACGGAAACAAATGGTGAGTGGCAGCCATTTTAGTGATGAGTCCCATTCACTAAAATGTCCAAGGGGTTTTTCCCTTTAAGATTTTCCAGAACAGGGTTTCTGTGAATGAGAAGTGGTTGTGTAAGAAATCTGATTCCCTATTTTCATTTTTTTTGTATCAGGCTTCTCAGAGCAAAATTACCAAGACTGTATATTTCATTTAAATGTTTTCATTTTCATTTGTTACATGTGAAAAATGAAAATGTTTGTTAGTTATAATTATTATGGTTATGGCTTACAATCCATTTTCAAAATATCCTGATGTTTTATTTGGGGCTTTATTTGCAGTGAGACAATTATCGACATCATAATATAAAAACAAAGCGCTTGATTATTCTCATGTAATCGGTTTTCTCATGTTAATATCACATTCAATGTTGCTCAATTAAGTACATTTCATCTGTAGTTTCTGCTGTAGTTTGTCTGGAAGATGTCAACACAATATATTTTGATATGTCTGTGCTGTTTGTCATTTATTTACTTAGAACCAAATTCACAGATGGGATATTGATACTGTGAGGAAATGTTTTAGAGCAGGCCACTAACCCTTCACAAAATCAGCTGTTTTTCTTATATTCTTATATTGGTTTATTTGACAGGGGCAGTTTCACATAATCTAATCAGTCTTGAATTGTGATATCTGGGTCTTAACATTTGTGCAGTATTTAATTTCTCTTGTTATTTTGATTAAATAACCTAAATAAAGAGTGGCGGAAGTGGTGCAATGCTGCAACATGTCATTTTGCTCCAGCACTACAACCAGTGGGAGCGGGTTCTGGCCCAAAAAGGTCCATGAAGATGTGCGTTGACGTGTTGAAATCTCACTCCTTTGCCGGGTGAAACCGTGAAAATCATTATCCAGTACCTTTAACGACACCTTCTTTCCTCTCAAAAAAGGCTTTTCATTCTTGTCCAAAAGTCGATTCTCAACTAAACGCTTCTTTCCAGATGCGTGTCAGTGAGGGGTGTTTATGGTCCAGCCTAGCTTTGTCGCAGTGGACTTTTGAACGCACTTGCTAAATGAGCGGGGCTAGCGCTGGGTAACACATGCGCAAATGTTTGTGTTTTTTCACATTTTCCTGCAAGAGGGTTAGGGTCATTTTTTATCTGCCCATGTCTGTGGCACATACATTTCAACGGAGTAAATACTGTAGGCGTCACTACGCTCGTTAATATTTACAGTCTATGACAATAACACAAACACGGGCCACAAGCTGAACATCCTTTTCACATTTGCTAATAAACTATGGGTAGGTCTGTGAAATAGTTTGTTTAGTTTGTTTCATAAATGGTCTTAAAAAACTTGAATTTGACTATTTAGCTGACTGATCATTTGTCATTTCTATTTGTCACTGTTGGGGGGAGCTAAAGGGTGGAAATTCATGAGTAGATGACTTTTTATTTTTACAAATTTATATAGCTATTACATTTGAGATGAAGATATATTCTCCGTTCATAAATAAATCATATTTTTTTCTGATATTGTTGCAGCTTGAGTATGTAATAGACTGTTTCCAAGAAGTGAACTCATGTTAAAAGAACATTCAAATAATAAATATGCTGTTATGGAAAGCAATAACATTTATCCAAATCTCTGCGTTCGCTGCTTTTTTTCAAATGTCAAAGAGTCCTGTGAGTCTCTGGGTGAGATGAGTCAGAAGCAGGTACAAAGGAGCCAGTAATTGCCACGGTAACAAGCTGCTACCGTTACATAGCAGCTGGCCAACAAACTGTACTAACTGCTTTAACTGTACTCACCAGCTTGAATCGCCTATCTGCAAATTTTCCCTTCTTATCATGTAATCAAATGCAAAAATGGCATCCATCTCTACTTGTCTGGCTTCTGTTTGTGTTAATCTTTATCTTACTATTAGATGTTTAAAACAAGATGCAGCTGGTCTTACTTAGTTTAGAATGTTTATTGATATTTAATTTTGTTCTCTGTGTTTTTGCTCTTCACCCAGGCTTCTATGGCCTCAACTTTCATGGCCATATTGGTATTGATTCTTTATTCTTTATAAAAAAAATTGCAAGAGTAAAAAACATTAAGCTCTTAACATCCATGACTATAACTTTGCAGCATTACAGAGAATGTATGTATTTCCATTGACTTTCTATTTTTAGGATGCAATAAGGCAACCTCAGGTTTCAGATCGTTTTCATTGTCTGTCTCCATCACTAGAACCATACAAATAAGAACTAGAACATGCACTAGGAGAGCAGATACTCCTCCAACACCTCAGGTCCACACATTCTGATCTGTTGGCAGGCAAATTATTATACTCAGTGAATACATGCAACAAAGCGACCCCTCGAGTGTGGAAGTACCGTCTGCATTTCCCACAGTGAGCATCGACAATTTGTGCAATGGAATAATGCGTCTCATGCTCGTCATTCGGAGGTATCATGTTTGTCTAGACTGCGGCTCTCATTGTGTGACTCCATATTGAGAAATCACACCCACGTTAATCTTTCAAAGACACACGGCTACATGGTTGCCGTGGAAACCGTGCAATGTGGCTCCATTCACAATGCCCCAGCGCTCAAAATAATCTCCGTCCATCACTTTGACTCCTGCTTCTTATCAAGTCATAGCAAAGTAAGACTGCACAGACTGATGAAGGCCCAGTATGAGTGCTACTTTTCCAGCTTCTTTTCATTCATCCTGTCATACATTTCAACTGTATGACATGAAATATTTCATGAATGACATGGTTACGCACTTGCAAACATTTCTTAAATCTTGATTTGAGTGTAATTTGACTGTCTGGTTTGCTTTTAGAACAACCAAAGGTTTTTTGCTTCAAAAATATTTAACTTGAATGAGAAGCATTACACTGTGCTAAAAAAATAAAATAAATATTAGTGAATGGCTTTGTTCACACAAATACATGTAAATTCAAACAATTGATTTTATTTTTTTATGACAAAAAAATTCCATCAAAATTTTTTGTACACCTGCATTAAGAATAGTGCCATTTTTCTCCTAAACCGTGCTAGGGACAGCCTTCCACTATGGCTTCAGTAACCATAATATAATATCATATATAAGTATTCTCCCTCAGCCTCTGCACAAGCTGTTTAAATTTTTTCATAACAAGTATTATATCACAGTAGATGATATTGTTGGTTTTAGCATCTTCACATCCATTTCATTCATATATTTACCCATCTGTATTCATTCACAGTGTTGCACCCGTTCACAAGGAGCAGGCAAAAGTCGACGGATGTGTGCAGGTTTCTGCTGTCATGGCAACCGGTCACGTGTCCGGGTTTTTACCAATGGGGATTCCCTCTTTATCTCTAAATGCGTGCAGATGGGGCAGGGCGCGGGGGGGGACGCCATGATGCCCCGCGGTGCGTGAAGGGACACAGATGACTCATTCAAGATGCTATTCTCCGACACACAGGAGAAGGTGATTCCTCAAATAGGAAATGGTCCTTTTAATTGCAATTAGGACAACCCAATAGGCAATAGACATGGGAGAGTTATTTATAGAAAGCCATTATCTGTTACAGTTTTAATACCCAGCCAGTGGTTGCTCTTTATCAGGGTTGAGAAAAATACATCTGTGGAAGAAAGAAGATTGGAAGATTGGGACCATTTATATTTATTATTGTATTATTTTAGAAAATGTAAATATGTGACCGAGCCCAAAAAAACACACTAGTGGTAAAACTAAAGTGTTTTTATTTCACGGTCAAATTAACCCCAGCTTTAATTATATGTATTGTATTCATGAGTTGACAGGCTGATTCCTTAGTAAACTGTCCACATCGTGTCCATTTTGCCAATTGGGGATCCCCAGAATTGGGGTATGACTCAAAACATATTTTCTGTCAGACAGTGCGTCATTACAAATCTATCTGCTGTGGGAACCACAAGAATAACAAAAGTCAGAAGTGTGACCTTGACTTTTTAGATTAAAGTTAGGTATATTCTTGTGGGAGAAGGTTATATACGTTAGGAACCATGGCCGTAATTAGTTGAAACCAGACATCTGCCATGGTAACTGTCCACCTCACACTCTTTTTACCAATGGGGATTCCCTCTCAGTCCTCTCTTCTCTTTTCCCTTCACATCAGTGCAGTCGTGTGTGTTCTGCTGGAAGAGGTTACAGGAATGAGTCACCGGATATTTTCTTTTTGAGACTTCGTGCTCAAAAAGTGAAAGGTGATCAAACAGTGCTGTATTGTTCACCTCATTTAATTAAAAGTGTCTTTAAAGTTATAATAAAGTGATAAACTTCATATGGGAAAGAGACGTGCATACATTTATTTCAATTTGTGACCTTTGCCTTGTAATTGCACAGAATACTTTAAAGGTTACTACTTTAAATATCACAGTGGCTTGCATAATCTGGAACATAACACATGATATTTCCATCCATCCATCCATTTTCTTCCCCTTTATCCATTTCGGGGGGGGGGGAGTGGCAGTCAGAGCTGCACCCAGTACACACAGCACCAGCCCCTCACTGATCCTCCTGCAGGTGGTGATCTTTTAGTGAGGGCATGACATGATATTTCATGCATGTAATATCATGTGTTATGCTTGCATATTGCCTACATATAATAGTCACGACACAGCATTTCAAACTTGATACCAATACAAAAATACTTAAATCCAGCAATTATTTATACATGATTTATAAAGTTCTTTTTGGACAACAAACAGATACAAAGTAAAATGGGGCCACGTTTTTTTTTTTACAAGGTTTTTATGTTAAATTTGGTATCTAGTTTCTTTTTTTCAATACCTTTTGAAAAACCACACATAGTCACATATATAATGGTTTCATAATGGAAAAAAATAAAGATTTTGGTTTAAATTGTAGATAAAGCCTGCAATGGTAATAGTAGTGTTTTGACTTTTATTTGTCTCCATATGATACTTTTTTTACTTACCATATGCACAAGCACATTTTCTGCTCAATACATAACTTCTACGAGTTAGAAGTCATATATTCTAAGAAAAAAGGTGTTACATTGAATTGACTCCTATTAATGTAATAGTAATGTAATATGACATGACGGTGTGAAAAAAGTTTGCTTGACTTTATCGATTCAATCCAACACCGGATTTCTGAGAATGCACAATCATTGTATGATCGGCCATTTACATGCTCCAGTCATCCTTGAACAGTGTGTTATGTGAGTCCAACGATTGCCTGGCTGTAACTACACATCCGGTGTTGACTTTCCGGCTCTCATAATGGTCAGCGGGTTGCACATTTACCGAGTTAATTGGGCCACGTATTGATCCTTCGTGTGCATAAGTGGTTGTTTGGTTCAGCTCTGTCATTACTAGTTGTTGTTGAATGGCTGCTATCACAAGTACACAGATTTCCCTAGGGATAAATAAATTACCTGCCCGTCTGAGCACCTGGGGATAGGTTTTGAATACCGTGTGTGTATTTTCCGGTCCTGGCTTCCTTCCTTTCTCTGATTGTCCATCTGGGGACTTTTTTTCTTTCCGCCTCAATAGTTGCCCAGTTTGTGTTGCTTACCACCTGCCTGTTTAAATTAATGATTGCAGTCGTGTTATGCAACCGATTTTTCTATGTTTCTGTGCTTGTGTTGGCTGTTGTATGTGGCCCAGGACTGTGTGCTTTTCCAGTCCAAGGCAAATATTGTATCCATTTGAGGTAGGGGGCCTATCATGCGGACACCCACGCAGGCTCCAGACTGCTGATAAATGGAACCGGAAACAACATCAAACAGAGAAGAGCTGTCCCAGCCGCTGGAGCAGGTGCACTGACTTTTAAATCTCAGGAGACATGAGCCCTTCTATGGTAGAAAGACTTTCTGGATTTATTTCACATTTTTGTTATCCTTTTAGAACAACTAGAATACTTGGTTTAGACCATAAAATACTGTTTCAGGCTTGTACATTGTAAAAAGTGCAGCAGACCAGACTTTGATGTAAAATGTTTTAAGTAATAACTTAAGATATAAGAATAGCTATTTTTAATGTTTTATATTTTTGGTTGTAAAATAAGTTCTGTACAACATTATTTTTAGCACCCTGTACAATTCTGATTGTATAAATGAAAAAACTTTGTCCATTAATGACTTTATAATCTGTTGATCAAAAACGGATTGGTCAAAGCAGTGACGCTACCCAGAATGCATTACGGAACAAAATATACACATTCCCTTTGGAATAATTCTATATTTGAGCAATAATTTTGAGAGTTGGCCTAATGCAAAATTTGTAAGCAAAGCCTAAGACTATTTAAAATACATGGGTCATTTGTCTGAACTGTTCAAATAATAGGTAAGGGTCACTGTGCTCTTGTGAAAGTCAATGATCATCTCCTTGGTCTTGGATGGAAGAATCAGCCCATTTCTCTCACTCCAGTCTGAGAAGGCAGCCACCACCTCCCTGTACTCTGCTTCATCCCCCCCGCCACATGCCACAACAGTGGTATCGTCCGAGTATTTTTGTACATGGCATGTTGCAGAGTTGTGTGTAAAGTCTGCAGAGTAAATTGTGAAGAGGAAGGGAGCCAGAGCGGTACCCTGTGGTGCTCCTGTACTGCTCACAACAGTCTCAAACACGCTCTTCCCTAACCTGACATACTGTGACCACACATTGAGGTAATTGTAAATCCAGTTGGTAAAGATGGGATCAATTCTGATCTTCTCCAGTTTCTCCCCCAGTAAGAGAAGTTGGTAGGTGTTAAATGCACTCAAAAGTCTTCATTATAACAGATTTAAGGGGCCTGATCTGTAGTCCTTGCATCCTGTCGGCCTTGCCACAACATATACATTAAATTAAAAAAAGGAGAAAGGAGGCCTCCTTTTCTAACTCCATTACACGCATACAAAACTTTATGAGAGGGCATTGTCCCATATCACACTCATGAGTTGATTAGCTGAAGGCTAGAATTCTAATTAAGTATTTTAGCACTCCTCTATATGCAAATTCTTTGAAACAGTTTGTATAGTTTGCTCTATCAAAAGCCTTTCTAGCATCAATAAAACAGAATTAAAAATACAGATGAGTTCAAGTCCAGGTATTTACTGACATGTTCTTTCAGTGCATACAGTTATGTATCAATGCACTATCTGTGCCCTTATTAAAACCAAATTGATTGTCATTTGTAGTCAGATACACTTTGATTCTAGCGATCAGTATGCTTTCTGGAGCATAAGAAAGAGCACTCTCAAGGGAAATAGGCCTGTAATTTGTCATACTATTTAGCTTAGCAGCTTTGTCTTTGATAACCATAAAAATAGGTCCAATAGGGACGTACAGCATATTTTAGTCTTTCAGCATCACATAGCTAAAATCTGCAACAATCTTCATGAAAATGTGAGATAGGCCTCTTCTCTGACAATTTTTAATTCCAGGTTGCCCGTCCTACACAAGGTAACACATTAAAATCTACATATACATTAAAAAAAACTATTAAGTGTTAAGATCAAAATAAATATTAGAAATAGAATAAAATCCCAATTAATTAAAAACACTGAAATCACACAAGATTAAAATGATAAATAGCCCAGTGCATTAAAAAGAGTAAATATTAAATCCTTCAGATGTAGAGATAAAATCCTTTAGTAGTATGCACAGAAACAAACTGCCAGAGTTGACGCCAGACTCACATTTTCAGGAAGATTCATCCAGATTTTAGCTGTATAAATCTTAAACACTGTCGCCCCATGTCCAGTTTTAACTTTGGGCACCAGCAAAAGGCTACTTCCTGTGCTCCTCAGAGTCCGGGCAGGTTGATATAGCCCTAACACGCCACTAATGTACTTTGGTGCGAGGCCATGGAGAGACTTGTACACAAGCAGCGCTGTTTAAAGTCTATTCTCTGAGCCACAGGAAGCCAGTGCAGAGACTTGAGAACTGGAATAATGTCCTCATACTTCCTTCATTCAAATTAGATTTTAGTTTTTTCCTTCCTTGAACAAAGAATTACACACTTCCAATGTTCTTATCATGCTGGTCCGTTCTGCTGCAGCTCACCACAATAGGGCTGTTTAGTGTGGTACCTCCTCACACCGTGAACATTCAATATCTCCTGCTCTTAGACAGTGGAGCTCTTACAAGTGGACGCTCCTCTCTCCAAATGCTTCCTGTTTGGCTTTAATCAGTGCTCAGGTTTCAGGAAGACAGGATGCATTAGCGGAGACAGGAGGAGGTTTGCATCAGCGTTATGACAGCTGCAAGAGAATGATTTATGCCCAGCCTCATTTTAGAATACTGTATTGGAGAGATGGTAAAAATGAGTAGGATTTTGGAGTTCTCTCCCAGTTGGCTTCAGAATAGGTGCAAAAATTCATTTCAAAACATGTGGTTGTTGTCAGCTTATTTTTGTGCCAATTTCAGATCAGATTCATTTATTTGCCATTTGCAGTAAAACCACATTGGAAATACTGTGCAAGACTACCCCAGTGTGGACCAGACAGAGGCGGCACACACCAGAGCTCTTGCCACGGCGCCATCTTTACGGCACCTTGCGATATATTTTTCCACCTTCCACAGTTTCTCTTGTGTCTTCCAGCACCCAAAACCGGCAGCATATGAATTGTGACGACAGTGTAGCGTAGTAACATATGTAATTGATGTGTTTGTACAGAAATGCAGGCCAGCAGCACCTACTCTGTTCTTTCGGAAACGGGCCCAGAAGCTGCATTGGAGTGAAACTCACAGACGCTTTCCTGAAGGTGACTCCTGCATTTTCACAGCTACATCAACAAGCAACACATGATCTTACATTTTACAGACAGATATGAAGATTTAAACTTCTTCTCAATGCTGTGTTCATGAGCATATAGACAAAATGTATAATTGCAGTCAAATCATGCAAATTGTGAACGCTGCTGACAGAGGTTTGGTTGATTGGAATCTCCAATTAAAATGCTGTTTTTATGCCATTATTTTGAATACTTAGACGAGAAGATTCAAGTTCTCAAAGACCACAATAACAACTAAACACAGAACATGCACAGTAACATCAAATTACATAAAATCATGAACAGAATTACCATAATATCCGGATTATAAACCACTATTTATTTGTAGTTGTTGTGTGGATACTGTGTTTTTTTTTACTGTGGTAGAGTTTATGGATTTATTGTCGTTGTTTTGACTCCGACAAGGTTCAGTAGCTTTAAGACACAGGTTTATTGTCACAATAGACTGGTGAATGAGTACAGACATGGAAGCTCACGGTTAAGCTGTTAAACACCTTGTCATTAAATCATGTTGTGATCAGTTAACACACGCATCCATCTGCTACATCATGAAAATCTGTAGCTTCAAGTGTAGCCTTTACGAGGACACGTGATTTTCAAATGTACGCGGTGTGGCTTACATGCAAGTAGTCCAGAAAGTAGGCGTCCCCCGGCATTTCCTGTGTAAATATAAAACTAGTAGTAATAGGGCAGAGACAGATATTGGTGCCCACACGCTGAAGACACAGGCGCCGCTGACCTCACTACTGTTACGAGACAGCAATAAACTATCACAGAATATTGAATATGAGGTTGTAAAATTTTGTAAAATAACAGAGCCAATATGAGATGCTGAAATATCGGATTTTGGTAGTTTGATTCAAAGGGTATGGTTGGACCTTTCATTATATGTAATTTCCCATTTGAAAAAAAAAATCTATATTTTAAATGATATTTGAGCAAATTTCCAGAACTCTATTTGCATTTATTTATTTTATCTATGTTTTCAATAGATTAGCTTTAAGGCAATTGTTGTTAACTGACATGTGGTAATGCATAATGAATAACTGTGTGTCCAGTTCAATGAATGAGTCATATCCGGTTAACAGTAATATTATTCTTTCTTCCCACATCTCAAGAGCAGCTCTAAATCCCATAGCAAAGATCTAAAGGAGACCGATAGATTGCCGTCAGCCGACTCAGCGTACGTTACACCCCCTGCTTTAGTCTGCTCACTAATCAAAGTCTTCAAAGCATTTGAAACCTACAAGATACGAGGTTGCCATCAAGATCTTCACTAACTAAGGTTGTCTTATTGAAACAAACTGCATGTACAAGCACTTTTGTTGCTGTCAGGGGGACCATAACGGCTGATGGATGAGTCAGACCTACGTAGAGACAAGCTCTGAGTCATCATAAATATTAGTCCAGCCATGCAATAACAGGTGAATCTGCTCTTTCACGTCCCGTTCCACCAGCCAATTGAATAAAATTATTGAAATCGAAAAAGCATTGAATGTGAATGAGTCCCATATCCTGAGAGGACGCTTCAGTTTTATTGCTTCAGCCAGAGCCATTGAGGAGATAATGGCTAACGAACATTGCTTTGGCTCCCAGCGATTGCGACTGGACTATGGGGGACTCTTCATATAGACGTTTTCTATTATACACAGACAAGAGAGTCTGCAATTGAGGCTGGAATAGATTAACCTATTACGCGAGCGCTTCACTGGGTACAAATTGGAAAAGTTGAATGTATTTTGAGCTTTCACTTGCACTTAGAATAAACGTTAGTTATACGCAGTTTTTCGGGGTGTATATAATTTTAGCAAGTTGTGATGGCAACAAAATGCATCAAAGATCTAGACCTACATAGTGTACATTGAAATAATTGGTCCAGTACAAAAAATACTCTCTAATGTTTACTGCATGCATTCCCTGGTGTGCCAAGGAATACGTCAGTCTATGAAGCACTGATTTTCAAATTAGAATTCTAAGGAATTAGTTGTGCTATTGATTACTTGTAAACATTGACCAGTTTCATCAATACACATATTACTCCAAAGCTGTATTGACCGCTTGCCATTTGTCACCAGCTGCACCCCGTGAACCTGATCTCGTTTTGACAAATGCACAACCCACAGACGCAGTCTGATTGGTTGATGACTTGGTGACCGCTGCCACATGCCGCCACATGCTACCACATGCTAAGAGCGGGGCGTAACTAGGGGTATCTGGGTCAGAGGAATGACTCATCCTCCTCAATGCCCTCCCCCTATGCTCTCCTTCCTCCGCCTCCCGGTGCCTTCCCCATCGTTCATTCATCCGCCTCCTCCATCAGATATCCCTCATTCATAAAGTCTGGGAGGCTGGGGATCTGCGTGAGAAATGATTATGTTGGCTGGGTAAGCACAGGCAGCATTTGGATGGGGCTCCAGATGCAATACTTCAATCATACAACCATACCCATGATCATGTTAAAAACCACAAAATGTATACTGTGCTGTTGGGCTTTCTCATGGTTTTGTTAGATCTCCATTATTTCACGGTTTGTTGAAAAAGGTCTTTTTGGTCATTCATGCAACTAATAATATAAATAGATTTGAAAGGCAATGGCCCTCATTTATGAAACTTGCTCATAAAAAGGAGAAGCCTCAAAAGGCATGTGGCAAGTTTGTTTGTTCATTTTTGTTTCAAAATAAATGTACGCTATATTCAGCTGCGTTTCCATTGAACAAATTTGCTAAATGTTTTTGATACATTGCAAAAATCTCTCTTGAACTGTAGAAGTAAATAAATAATGAATGAATGAACGAATGAATGAATTCATGAATGTTAATAACATGGCCTCAGCAGTGGCTCTCATCATTAACTGCATGAAGTGTCTGCTGAATCTTTTTGTGAATGCAATGGAGCAATCTCTGTGAGAGAGAGGATGAGAAGCTTTTGGGAAGTTGTGGTCGATGATTTCACAGAGAAACTCTAGATCCAAAACTTCTGAATGACGTGCACCAGGAGTTATGCAGCGGGACCTCTTGTAGCTCCCGCTGTGCACTGCCCAAAAGATAAGCACATTGCCATCCTATCCTAAACTGGCTACATGTGGACAGGGCAGTGAGAAGGGCACAGTCCATCGGTGCGTTTATGGGGTGTGTGTCTGTGTGAGGCTTTCACAAAACTAATGAAAAAATATATTGCTTTGCCAGATGTGAATGAGGTAAAACAAATACCAATGCCACAGATTTACAGAGCAATAGATGGGTCCCACATACCTGTAGCGTAAGTTGGTAAGTAAGTCAAGTGTATTTGTATAGCGCCTTTCACAGAGCAGGATCACAAAGCGCTTACAGGAGAAAATAATACACAAACAAGTCAGATTTAAAAACAAAGAAACAGAAGAGGGTCCTATTCGTATCATGAACTGTTATTTAGAAATTCAAATTTCGAAATTTGATGCTCAATGAAAACGAAGCCTATAATAAGAGTGGGAATATATTTATTGTTATCCAAATCTTGAATTTCATGCGTGTTTTGCCGTGTTGTGATGAAGGTTGAGATCACTTCCAGATTGATGAATGCTGAAAAGTGTAAATATTTTTGGCGTACGCCTCATTTACACCCTGATTTGGCTGTACACAAGTTTCGTAAATGAGGGCCAATATCTGCAGCTTTAATTGTTTTCTATTTATATTTAGATGCATATTCCTGACGTGTTGGGAGTAATATATATAATAATGTATTACAAAAGTAATGTAATTACTGTAATGTAGGGCCGGGACTTTAATGCGTTAATTAAGATGAATTAATAACACAAAAATTAGCGCGTAAATAAAATTCACGCATTATAATCGTTTCTATTTTTGCACCACGAAACGTTCCTCACTGGATGAGTTTCAGACGGGCCGATTGTACTGGAGCACCAACTGGAGCTCCGTGACTTTTATTGTTCAAAAGTACATTATAACAAGCATAGACCAACTTTAGCTGTGTCTAAATCCGAGTGAGTTAGAGACGGGAATGAGCGCTTCTGTGTGTGAGGAGGAGGAGGAGGAGGTGCGAGACACAGGTGTGTGAGCTGCTATTGCTGATGTTTAGTCCGAATGTACGCATTCAAAACGTGTTATAAAAGCTTTAGCAAACAGCGCATGTCCAACTTTAGTGCTCACTGCGAGTGCAGTGGATTTTGGGCTTAAAAAGCGCATGTTGTTGTCAGAGAGTGTGGAGGCAATGACAGATACAGTACGTTATTTGATGGGAAAGAAGTCCGTCTGATTCCCTCATCATCGACAATGAACATGTGTTGCTTATGTATTCAGTCATTATTCAATGGTATACTAAAAATCCATGTGAAAAAAATTACTTCTCACTGTTCTCAGGTCAAACATTTATTTGCATTTTCAGTTCTGGGCCAGTTCTTAGCCAGGACTGGGCCAGGACAGGACTGGGCCAGGACAGGACTGAGCGGCCGGACGCTGCGACAGTACAGAGTTGGGAATTGGATTGGCCTTTCACAAAGACAGTGTTTCAGAAGGGTGAAAATGCAAGCGTTGAGAAACGGTCTCCAAAGTGGAACAAGACAGACACGCTGCGTGGCGGTGGGGTGTATCACAGCCGCGTGAAGAAAAATCCACTGCCTCTGATCTAATCCACTGATACTATTTTTTCATCACGTAAAGGCGGTTCTGGAGATGCCGTTTGCCCGGATGGTACGGCGGCTGCTGGGTACGTTTTTGACAACTGGCAAAAGTGGCACCCCGTTTGTCTGTCGGGACTGTCCATCGAGGACATTGAGGATATATACATTTTTGGATTTATGGTAGCAGGGTTCCTCCTGATTGGATTTGGAGTTGGCTTGATCTACCGCAAAGTTGGAGGGCTGTCCACTCAGAAGATTTACGAGCGGCTGTCCGCGGAAAACAAGGAGAGTTTCCGCGAGTTGGTCAGTGTCGTGGTCGAGGGCACAGTGGGGACACAACGGGGGGTGAGTCGGATCGAACATTCCCTTAACGACCTGGGAGTGAGATCTTTGAATGGACTTAAACGCGTGGAAGGATTGATTGAAGGACTTGGGCCTCACGGTGGAACCTCGTACTGACGTGGTCAACTCCGGATAACGGTGAACGGAGGGTCCAGTTCCAGTATAATTTGGACATATTGGCTTTAGTTTACACTGCCTTTCATTGATCAGCTAAAAGTGCTTATTCAAATTCCCCACAAGGGCATGTGTTGTTTTGTCTCCAATGTTTGCACCTGCGCTATCTTTGTCCTTCACATTCCACCACCACACACGGCCACTCAAGGCTGACACTGGACTCTTATCTATCTCAGACTCACAACTCAGAACACCAGTTACAGTCCCCCCCCCCCCCCCCCCTACATGTCTGCCTCTCTCTCTTTTTCAGTCTATGGTGGTCTTCCCCTCCACCTCCCCCACCCACACTCCCCTCTGACGCGCTATATTGGACGAGGCGGGCCAGAGTGATGACTTCCCATTAAAAAGATCCGCATGTTTTTCCACATGTACGTGTCTCTCCCCATGTTTGTTGAAATATATGTCTGTTTTGCTCTATGCTGTTGAATAACTGTTATTCTACTGTTTGTCGCATGGCGCCGTAAAAAATGGCGCCGTGGCAAGAGCTCTGGTGTGTGTCGTCTTCTGGTGCACACCGGGGTAGTCTTGCACAGTTTTCCAATGTGGTTTTACTGCAAATGGCAAATAAACGAATCTGAATCTGAATCTGAATCCAACTGGCCGTGCGCTAGAACCACATAATTTTCCGTAGCTGTGGGGATGCTGTGCACTTCGAATACACAGCCTGATCATTTATGCAAATTGCTTAGCAGCGTCTCCGCAGCGTTTCCTTAGCACATTTGCAGCGTCTTTGTCTAAGCAGGGCCTGAGTTTGCGGGAGATAACAACGTGCACTTTATGTGCCAAACTAAAAGTAACTTAAAACTAATGCAGAAGTAGTGTAATGTGTTACAACTAAGAGACAGTAATATTGTAGTTATTACTTTAAAATAACAATAACAAGTAATGCATAATGTTATAAGTTTTTTAAGTAACTTCCCAACACTGTTCTTGACCATAAGATAAGATATAATTTATTAATCTCACACAGGAGAAATTTACAGGAAACTATTACCCTGTAGTATAAATACATTAAGTATTTTTCCTAAATAATATATTTAAAGCACTCCCTCCCTGCTACTTGTGAGATTTTCTGGAGGAGAATAGAAAGGATTTGAAACATAATGTGTTATTTTGGGGCAAGGTTTTTAGATTATGCAAATGTCATACCTCCCATCCCAAGGACATTGGTACCATTCAACCACTGGCTCTTTTGTGTTTCTTATTATTGCATGCCCTGTTTCATAATTGTTTGAGTCTCTAATCCACTTATGTTCAAACCAGTCCAGAAAGGGCTAGTGCAGGTTTGTATACCAACCAAGCAGGAGCATAACCAAATCCAGAGTGGATTCTGGTGTGCACCTGCTGGCTTTAAGGGCTGGAATCTAGTCTGTTGTTGTCAACTTTTACAGGGAGAACATCTGTAGAAACATTATAAATATTCCAGATTAAAGCAGAAAAGCACATTTCCATCTGTCCATAAACACATATTAGACAGCTCTTCATGTTGGATTTCTGAAAATGTTTTAAACATTGACTATTCACCATTGCCTACTATTCACCATTTAAAAAAAATAAAAATAAAATGTGGAATGTAGATTTGTATAGTTCTCGTAAATTCAAGAAGCTTTGCCTAAATATGTTGCTTTGTTGTGATATTATCAGAAACGCAGACAAAGTATCAGGGCTGTGTTCTGACAGAGGCGTAAGCTAGTGCTTTCAAAACAGTGTTTTGTTTTTGTTCTGGTAAAATTAGGATCACTCCCACTTGTGAATGTGGTAGCGGTCAGGGTCTCGCATCCAACCGACTTTATTTTCATGAATGTTGTTGTGTTATGAAACCGAGATGAAGTGTTCAGCTTGCATGTTAAAGTTAGTCAGTAGTGGTGATGTGTGGGTGGGAACACAGAGTATCATGCAGGCTGCAGCGTCTGTAGGAGGTGAGTGTGCTGTTCTAAACTTTATATTTAGAGCCACACACCCACATAGAGATAACAGCTTCAAAGAGAAATAGCTAATTTATGACCCGCTTTTGAAAATTCTGTCTGTTTTCTTTTGCAAATAAATGTGTGCTGTTATGAAATTCTTCTTTAAAGGGGATTTGATGTTTCAGATCTTTCCATCACATTTACCCACTCAAATTTGTCTTTAGTGATTTATCCATGTATTGCATGTACTCCTTTTCCATCAATACACTTTCACTATTTACCCACTCATGTATTTTATCAGGACCTAAAGATCATAATTGCGATTTAATATCAATATAATGTTAAACTTTATCTAATTCCCATGCCTCTTGTCTTCAGGCAGCTAAGATGTATGAAACCCCTCCTGCACACACTTTTCTCTTTTATGTTCCCTTCCCTTTCTCTCCTCCATCATAAACAAGATAAACAAGTCCCAAGACAGCAATTCTAAGGTGTTTTTTTAGATTTGTCTTTTTCATTTTCTTGCATCCGTGCTGTGGGTCTTGCTATTGAAATATAACTATAATCCTCAGGGTCGTAGCAGACAAAAACACTGTTTCTGTAAGTAGACATAATGGCATGAACGCAATGATAAACTTAGTTCAGCACAATCAGAGTTCAACTAACCGGCTCCTTCATAAGTTTAATTTCCTCTTTAGCCCCAATCATCTATATTTTGCAGGAAGCGTGCATGTACCTGTTACAACACTATGACTGGTGTGTGGACCCTTCAACTCAGGCGCTCCAGTACAAGTGGCTGCCTGTGTCGCGTCCGGCCAACTCCCCCACCATCTCCTTCAGTCGCCTGGATGAGAACCCACCTGGCCACAGCGGCTCATAATGAGACATTAGTGACTTCAAGCTGTTTTAAAGGAGACATATAATGCAAAATTGTCTTTTTTCATCTTTTCTCCATGTATCAACATTGTTCCCTCATCGAAAACAGACTAATATGAGGAACTTTGGGCATGAGCATGTAGCTCTGCCCTTTCTGTCTGCATGCTCCTGTAACAAACCTGTTATGATATGATTTATAATTATTATTATATTATTATTGACCTTTTATTTAATCAAGAAATTCCCAGAGACAGTGTTCTTTAGTCAACTCCTCCCTTACAAAAGCACTTTTTGACCTCTATACATGTTTCACCAAATATTTTCAATTCATAATATATTTTAACTTTCTGTTTAAAATGTCTCATTATAAATCAGACACTGACTAAAGTTGGAAGACTGGCCGCATACGAGCCTGCGGAAGATTGACAATTTATATGGGTGGGATCCCCAGGTGTATTCTCACGGTTGGAGAACTAAGCAGCACCTAGGCATCTCGGCCAATCACTGCTCAGCGGGAAGCGATTGACCAACCAGAGCCCAGGACTCATGAGTGTGGTTTCTAAGCACTGCACTGGGGGAAGACACACATCACCAATGTGATCACCAAAACTGAATTACAGACTCTCGGTTAAAAAACAAAAGCTCAAAACATGTTGTAATGTCCTATAATGCACTAAAGGAAAATGTTAAGTTCTCCAGCTCTAAGAACAAGTCAAACTAAAAATGTGCCTCTTGGCAAAAAATCGACAGAGCCTATACCTCTTTCCATTCATGAAAGCATAACTTATACAAAGGCTATAAATAGACACGATCAAGCAGCACATTGGAGGCCGCAGACGGGAGATCTTGAGATTCCTTCACGGACGGACCACATCCCCGTCTCTCCTCCCTCTCCAACACCTAGCAACCAGTGCTTAGCAACGGTTCGTCATCCTCACTCCAACTCTTTTAGTATGCAAGTCTCACACGCGCTTGGTCGTGGTGGTTATTTTTGAACACTCGCTGCTCTGAGCGAATTGCACGGAGAACCAGCCACAGGACGCCTCCAGCTGACCCCCTCCCACCCCCCGCCCCCCAGCACTTTAAAGCAGATGAATCATTATCTGTGTGATCGTTAATTAGGATGGAGATGTTAAAAAAAATGCATATTTATTCATTTGTGCGTACAGTATGTGAGGGTTTAGGTTGAATGCGTCATTTTTTTTGTGGAGATTTTTAATTTAATTACTGTTTTATGTTGTCATTTACAAACACTTCAGATGTTGTTGATGTTGTCGATTGATTCAGGCATAATCTTGTTTCTCCTGTATTCAACTAAAACACTGACTCGACGATAGCGCTGCTCTTTACTTACTTACTTGGTATTATAATTATGATATGTTGTTTTTTTTATTCATTCTCCAACAATCAGCTGTGAAAGAGGAATTGTTAAAACCCTAAATTTGGCTGTAGCTATACCAGGGTCTATACCACAAAAAATGTAGACGGACTTTTGAGTTTGATCTTTCTCTGGGAAACAATTGTTCCCACTAATAATTACAGTAAATGACTCGTCAGAGGCCAAAACACACCCTCAGTTTCACAAAGAGCCGAGCCATTTGTTTGTGCTCTGAAGGGTTCTCAGACAGATTCTGTTTGATTTTTGCCCGAAATTTGAAGGCGTGATAGAGAAGAAAAGTCTGAGTTGTCAGAGGTTAATAATAATTTTGATTGGTGTTATATAAAGCAGAGAAAGCAAATAATTTCTTCTATTCAACCGCATTTTCTATTTGTATTGGTGTGTGTCAATAACATGTGTGTTGAGCATTAGTAAGCATTTTCCATAATTAGTGTATTGATTTTGTTCAAGCTATTAATTTACAGAAGGATTTATTAACACTGTGCCTTTTAAGATTGAATGTTATGTATGGGATGGGAAAAGTCTGAAATGAGCTCCATCCTTCAGCTCATCCTAAACTTTTTTTTTTGCCTTCTTAAGGATGACAAATCAGAAGCCATTTCAAAATTGTATTATATTCATTCTAACAATAAAACTTGTACAATTCATTAATTATTTTACATTTTAATCAATACACACCATCTTCATGAATTGACTTTCAGAACTCGCTTCGGTCTCATTGTATTTTATCTTATTTATTTACCACACCTATAAATGTGGCTCCTTCAAATATGCAGTGTGTGGAATGTATGGCGCACAGTTAAATCATTCCTTCTGCCTCCACAAACAAAAGCTGTGTGTGAGAATACTGCTTTTGTCCTTCACATTGACTGGACTCTGTGTTTTCTTGCCATTTTCTCTCACTGGGTCATTGTCAAGAATACACAGAGGTTAGACGGCAATTGCCTTTTTCACGTGTCAAAGTGCAGAAATGGTTATTAATGGGTTTTGTCTCTCACCTAATTCAACGAAAGAATTCAAGTTTTAGGTATACACTTGCAACAATCTTACAATGTGCGTTCCTACATGTTTGAAGTGAGGTATGAATGTCCAAATAACATTAATAAATAAATATCTTCCAATATGTAAAGCCTAAAAACTAACCCTAAAATATGCAATATAATTTCAAATTATGATTTTGAGATTTTGAATCAAGATAATAAACACAATTCTCATTATTATTTATGCATAAATGAAAATATATGACATGAAAAAGTAAAACATGAAAAAAACGTATTTGCAAAGAAATTAAAGGTGATGTCAACAACTTTTTGTTTTTTGTATCTAAGTAAGTAATATCTAGTCTTTTTCTGATCCTGGTACACGGCTCTATTTTGCATTGCTTTTTTGTTAAATGAAAAAATCTTTACCTTACCTTCAAAATATCTGAAATTGGTGAATTTCTTAGCTATTAAAAGAATCTATGGGCTGGAAACAAGAGCGAGAGATCACGTTCGCAACAAGTAATCCCATATGGCAGCGTGATTTGATGGCCACCTTTTTGAGAAAACTACCCACAATGCCGTGCGGTCGAGCCGGAAGCTCGGAACTCTTGATGCATGTATTCTTGTTGCAGATGAAAATATTTTTACATTTTTATTGCCATAGAATTCTGATGTACTGTGACCCTTTAACCGGCTGTTAGATCTGTCAAATTGGCTCAAATTGGGCCGGAGTGAAGAAAAGCATGACTCTCATTGTTTCCTGTCCATTAGCTAACACCATACAGTACAGTCACAAGGACCTATCCATCTACTTGATTTACTTTCATCCATTTTTCTACTGTCATTTAAATCATCTCTGGCCCACTCTGCTTCACCCTCATGATCTGATTTGCCACACTTTGAAGACCCCGTAGTCCCGAGATTGGATTTCTTCTTGCAGGAAGCGGAGGAGTTGCTCAGTTGATGTGGTTATGTCAGCGGTGCAGATGATATTATCTGTCTAGTGCTGTACGGGAAAAGGTTTTGTGCCTGGACAGTGTTTAGAAGTCTGTTTGTGAAGTTTACGTAACAGGGTGGAGGCTGTGTCGCCGTAAATATCCAAATCTGCATTAGGACAGTTCAAAGATGACCTCATGAGACCCATACAAAGCGACTCATGGAGGAAAATGCTCTAAGCTGTATAAAATATTCAGGAAGCAACTGAACCCTTTAAAGGTTTCCTCAACAATTTGGTGAAGTACTTTTCAGTCACTATATCTACTCGAAGCTTGGATCTGAAATCTACCTCGTTGGGGTATCTCTGTCACTTGGTTTTAGGCACTTTTACCAATACAATACATATCAACCATTTGGTAAAGACCAAATAATAGGGATTAAAAAAATAACATTAAAGAATCAATAGGGCTGCATAATTATTGCAATTTACAGCAACAAAAACTAATTTTTTGGCTGCAATTAGCAAAGAATAACATAATTTAGCGGAGGGGTATTATTAACCACTATTTTAATAATCAATTAGTTAACTGATTATGCTTTCGATCAATCAAACACTTCAGATCTTGAAAAGTCAATGAATATGGGATTGTTTGTACATTTGGCCAAAACAGCTCAAGTGAGGCCCCTGAGAACATTCATGTGGTCAAACAACCACATTATCAATCAATCAATCAATCAAAGTTTATTTGTAGAGCGCCTTTCATACACATGGCAACACAAAGCGCTTCACAGTCCACATCACAAATCATCACATAAAACAAACACCAGAATCACAATTAAAACATTAAAATCACACAAAAGATTAAAACACAATTAAAACATTAAAATCACACAAAAGAATAAAACCATTAAAACTTTCAAAATTACACAAGAAATTTTAAAAAATAAATAAATGACAGCAGTGCATTAAAAATGGAGATAAAATCCTTCAGTTGTATGCACAGGCAAACAGAACAGTCTTTAACCTGGATTTGAACATTGACAGAGTAGACGCCTCCCTCACATTTTCAGGGAGATTGTTCCAGATCTTAGCTGCATGGATCTGAAACGCAGCCTCCCCATGTTTGGTTCTCACTCTGGGCACCAGCAGGAGGCCAGTCCCTGTGCTCCTCAGAGTCCGGGCTGGTTCATATGACACCAACATGTCACTAATGTATTCTGGTTGACATTAGGTAACATTAGGTTGTTAGATTAAAAATACTTAATTCAATTTTGATTTATTCTTGTATAGCCCTAAATCACAACTGTAGTTATCGCAGTGGACTTAACAAAACCATTGAAATCACCAACACAGATCAGAGAATCAACAGTTAAGACACAGAAAATATAGGACCAAAAGCACATATTGGTCCATAGGGAGAGACCAATGTCCATGAATGTTGATAAATGTCCATAAATGTTGTATAATGTTAAAGTGTCCTGGATCATCACCACAGTTAGACACTAACAGTCTAAAAGACCCTCCTGCATCGGCAAGGAAAAACTCTAAAACCCATTAGGAGAAAAGTGAGAACCACATTGAGAGAGGGATCCGCTCCACACGGACTGACGGGCTATAGATCCAGGACTCAAGCTACAGAACAAGGACCAATGCCAAGGTTTTAATAAACACATTTTCACTTTTTT